ACACACACACACACACACACACACACACACACACACACACACACACAGATGGGAGAGAGTGGGGGATGCAATCTGGTGAGAAAAAATATGAGAGGAAACAAAATCTAGAAAGATTGACAGAGAGATGTAGTGATTAGATGAAGGGAATCTATCGAAGACCATTATAGAAAAAAGCTTCATTAATGAGACCCAAAAAATAATATATTCTAGCCTTTCTGACCGCTAAAAATGGAAATGTTGAGCACAGCATGAAACTAGATAACTCACCGTGTCAACAAATGAAAAATGGTTAATCCTCTGAGGAGCATGAATGTGCAATTGTGCGAGCCAATGCAGAAGTGCCTTAAACCTGCATTTTTTTCTAATGGCCATCAGGGGGCGACTCCTCTTGTTGCAGAAATAAGTCAGATTGTATAGAAGTCTATGAGAAAATGACCCTACCTCTTCCTTTATTTGTCACCTCCGGAAACATTGTCTATGGTCTCAATCTCTAGCTTTAAGTCTTCTTAAATTCAGCATGATGTTCATTTAGTCCATTTAGAGTCCAATAGAAGATAAAGCAGGGTATGCTTTAGGGCGTGGCTACCTTGTGATTGACAGGTCGCTACCATGGCGGCATCCGGTCTGGGAGTGGTCTCTGTTTTCGTCCAACAACTTCAACTCTTGATAGATATTAATGTCAGCCTGGTCGTGGTGATAAAGGATTCATCCTCTGTGGACCAACTAAATCCATAAATCAAGGAAAATCTAAACATAAATTTGTGATATCTTGTCTGTGCTAGTAAAGGTCAGTCCTCTTGGGAGCATGAATGTGCTCAGTAAAATTATAAACTGTTGATTGGAGTCTTCTTTTTACTTCTAAGACACCTTGGTCTTAATGCTTAAGCTCATTTTGGCTCTTTTTTATATAGCATTGTGTTTTGTCGTATTGCAGGTTTGTTTCTCAATGATATCCTCTTTAGACAAAGCACAGCTGATGTGACATAAGACATTTCATCACAGCTCAACTCAACACAAGAGGGAACAAAAGCACACTTGCACACGTCAGCTACTTCTCCAGTTTATGTCCACTAAATGGGCTTTCTGGGCCCTTTCCTGCACATTTAACAAGCAGCATGATATTAACATTAAGATACTTCTGGGAAACAAGCTGCTGGCCTTTCAAGCCTTGGGAAATAAGTGCAAAGAATACTTTGACATGGAGGCTGTTAAACTTTAAAACTGGGTTTAAGCAATTGTATGACAATTTTAAGCCCCTTTCAAACATTCAAAGAGTTAAATTTAATATGGTCACTGTTACGTGAATGTCACAACTACAATCTTGTTCGGTCAGACATGGAACATGTCAGCATCACTTTCAACACGACACAAGTCTGAATTGAATGCCATCGTATCAACATAAAGATCACAGCAGCACAAGCAGAGAGAGAGAGAGAGAGTGAGTAAATTCAATATTACAATCGGTGAGCGGCGTTTTACTCCCCTATCGAGCGGATATATGAAGACGCGGTTTGCGGCTTTGACAAGGGCGATGGACATAAAACAGAGGGCTTGCCTTTTGTTATCTATGCATATTTTGTCCTGCGCAACTATAGTGAAGTTCACAAAGAAACTGTAAACGAACAAAAGCATAAATGCTGCTCTCCCGTATGAAAGGGACTTCCAGCTACCCGGCAGAGCTACGAGTGTGAGAACAGACAACGAGTGAGGGACGTGTGTCGACCAAATCTCTTGAGCCATAATGTAGCCACACTTTGATATGGAACTCTTAATTGTTTTAAAGTAAATGTGATGTGTGTGCGAGAGAGTTAGAGCAAGACCAGCAGCCTTGAAATGTTTTAAAAATAAAACTTTTTTCCACCAAATTTTGTCTCTGAGTGTTTGTGTGGAAAAGCTAGAGGAATATCATAATCATCAAACCTTTATTATAAGAAGTCTACTAATAAGCCGTGTATTTTACGTATCTAAGCAACCACAGAGTAGAATGTTTACTAGTTTGCACTGGCTCACGCATGCCCAGAATGGTCATTTTCAGGCTTCTGATTTTGAGGTTTCTAAAACGATGTGAAAAAGCGTGTGTGGACGGAGAATTATCAGTGTGGTTATAACCTGAGACTTACAGAATGTAATGTCTTCAAAAGGGGCAATTTGTTGAATAGTGCAGTAAACAATTTATCAACAATCTATCAAAAAATTGGTTTGGACATATTCTGCAAGGGCTTTCCTCAAGTACAATTCCAGTATTGCAACAGTACTTGAGTAGGATATAGTATTGTAAGAGTAAGTAATACTTGAACCCAGGAACCATTTTTATTTATTTTTTCACTTAACACATCAGCTCGTGTTTCCATTAGATCACAAATAAAATGTTTGATGCGTTCACAACTTGGTGGAGGAGAGAGAGTAAAACAAAGAGACAGATCCTGCTAACAGACACAAGGCTTGAGACAGAACAGGAGCTGTGAACAGGGGGAGGAATAGGACAGGGAAAAAAGGGACGCTCATAAAGACCAGACTACACTAGAATAGAAAAGAAAAGAATAGAATAGAGCAACAACCTCTCCATCAGTTTCCATGGCAACAAGCCCTGTTGGTGGGATAGTGGTGCAGAAGTCTCAGCAGGAGAGAGTTCAACAGAGAGAGTGTGTGAACATCTTTTGTGTGCGTGTGTGTGTGGATGTAAAAAGCATATGGACATACTGTACATGGCAAATGTAACATGCATTATATATATATATATATATATATATATATCGGTGTTTATCTGCTGACGCCAAAAGCATCTGTGCGAGCGTTTCTGAGAAACAGTGAAAGAGAGGGATGGGCAGCAGAGGGGGATGCTAGGAAATGGAGTCAGAGAAAAGCGAAGGGACTGACAAGGAAGAAGATGAGGACTTAAGGAAGGAGGAGACTTGAGGATGATAGAGGCATTAAAGACTGATGGGTGAATAGGTGTGTGTGTGTACCTTCTGGTATTGATCTTTGGAGGCCAAAGCTTCCTCCAGCTGCTGCTTTGTGTCGGCATAGATGACGGAGCGGTATTCCATCCCAGTATCGTTCCCCTGTCGCATCCCTGAACACACACACACACACACACACACACACACACACACACACACACACA